TCTTTTGACGTATACTTCGAAACATACGACCCATTAGTACTTGAAATGGTATAAACAGCACAAGTATTCCCATTCCCGACAAACACGCCCACCGCAGGTACGGCCACAACAAGTATAACACGATTATCGCTTGCAGTGGCGCCACAAATAAAGATCGCGAATATAATGCAAACTATAGTCAAATAAAAATCAGTGTTTAAATATGTTTAAAAATTATTAAATTGGGATTATTCTTATGCGGGAATCCCGCCTGGCCATTATCTTAATATGGTATGATCCAGTAGATCCAGATGATTTATAAACCGTGATCAAAATCTGCCAATGGGCAGAGGCTGCCGAGTTATGGCCAGTTTTGTGATCACACACATAGTGTTTATAGCATTGGATTTTTGTGATTACTCATGATTTGTGTGAAACACCTTTTTTCAATGCTATAAACGCTATGTGGGTGATCACAAAACTGGCCATAACTCGGCAGCCTCTGCCCATTGGCAGATTTTGATCACGGTTTATAAATCATCTGGATCTACTAGATCAGACCATATTAAGATAATGGCCAGGCGGGATTCCCGTATAAGAATAATCCCTATTAAGACTAAATAGGCATGTTAAATATAATAATATTAAAATAATAAAATAATTATTTTAGCTATAATACCTCATCAAATCTGTTGACATCGTTGGACATTATGTTCAAGATCTGGCCAACAGTTGTCTTTCCGAGTGAGGAATGACTTAAACGCATTGACTTTATTAAAATACATTAATGAATATATTATAAAAGTATCAAAATTTTGCACTTTTATGGGACAAACCTTGCGGTAAATTAGGGCACAACAGGCGGCGCGTATCCTAACCCCCACTTTACAGTTAAGAGTACCATTTACATTAGTAATAAACATGTTAATTAAAGCGGCCAACATAATACCCACGGCTGCCCATATGGCCCGCCACTGGCTAGTGTTGGGGTCTTTGTTGAAATATCTCACCAAATATACAATACAGTAAGCCTGAAGACACTGTAGTCCCAATTCCTATTTTATAAATATATTTAATAAATAAAATGTTTTTTATTATCAAAATATATTTCCATATAAATGTTAAGATTAATTTAGATTGAAAATTTACGTTTAAATATTAACTCGCTCATCGTTCTATTGTCTCTCAATGGGAATAACAATGGATTGTACAAGTTAATGAATGTAAATTTTATTATATTTAAATCATAATTATTGTTTTAATTTCAAAATAATATAAATTTTTATTCCCTTATTTGACTGTTTTATGCTCTCGATTCCGCCCCAATTTGATGTATTTATTCCCAATGCTTTAGTTATGTTCATTCTAGTTAAATAAGGCTATTAAAATTGGATAGTGCTTTTATTCCATAAATATCTTAAATATAAATATATATCTTAAATATTTACCAAACACTTATAAAAACTAATTGTAGTTAAAAATATTATAAACTTAGATAAGCAAAATAAGAACAATTAAAAGTTTGCTAGTTGAAGTTAATTTATCACAATTTTATTCTATGTTGTTTATAATATTACCTTGATAGCATCGGGCATATATAAAATAATAAGTTCGGGTCCGAACGACGCGATCAAAGCCTTATAAAGCGATGGTTTGCCTTTACTTTTTAATTGATTATCCCATTCACTATAGAAATACAACAATATAAATAATGTATACATTTATTGTGTTAATAAATACATGTATGTTTAATAATGTATATTTTATTTATTTAATCATAATATATATTATATAAAATTTATTAATTTTGTGTTACATTTGCAACTTGTGTCGGACGAGATGTGTCTCATCTGATTTTGGGCAGCGGTAGAGATCACTGAACTCGAGGTTTTTTTTGTGCGCCCGAATGAAGAGACTCCACACCCAACTATATTATAATTGTAAAGAGTATTTGCATTTTCCTTGCTTGAAAGTTTTGCAATAAATTACCTGAATGTAAGTTTTGAAAATATATTTATGCGATCCCATGGCGATGGTATGGTTACCAAACCATTGGCAACATCCATGCTAATATTTTATTAATAAATTAAACAGATACTTTTACTGTATTATTTACCATGGTTCATTTATGTTTTGAGCATAAAGAACCAGAAAAATCTTGTGTAAAAGTTGATCATGTATATAATATTGCATTTAACTATTAAATCAATTATTATAAAATTTGATTAAGCTATTTTTGAGAAATTATTGTTAAATGAATGAAAGCACTATAACATTTCTATTATTATCACATTCGATATGCATAGTGTTAATGCATAGACTGTGCCCCTGCAAGTATTCATCCGCTCAGCACACACTATGCATTAACACTAAGCATCTCAAGTGTTCAAACGCCTCCCACACCTCCCCGCATGAGTTACAGCAAAAAAATTATTATTAAATTATGTTTTATACACTATTCTACCAAAATAATGCAAATATATTATTATATCTAGGTATAATTTCTCATATTTTCCTTGTAATAATATATTTTAAAAGTTAAAATCCACGTAAACGTCACTTAGAAAGAAAGAGAATAACTTTTAATATAAACTAGTTTTATTTGCATAAAATAATTTTAATAAATAATCCTTAAAAAGACTTAAATAAGACTTAAATAAAAAAGACTTATATGGTCTATAGGATTGGTCGGATTACAGGAATTTTAAAATAACAATAAGTTTTTTTTAAAAATTGTAAACATTGATTCACCTCCATAATTGAGTATATTATATTTATTTTTTTTGCAAACCTTGTTAATCTTTGTTGTAATCGGATATGCAATGTGACAACCAGTTTATGTTTGTAATGTGCTGGTCGGGGACTTTTCTGCTATCGGCGGGTTAATACGTTCACTCAATTAGACACAAAACATAACTGATTTAATTGAAAAGTCGAACACATAATAACTATTATTGCATAAAATATAGCGGACTATATAGCAATATAGCAATATGCATGTGAGCCGTGAATACAACATTTTGCAACATCTAGTAATATTTATTATATTTAAATTTAATATGTAGTTATTGAATATTCAATGTAATTATTGTAAAAATTAACATTAATTTACAGTATAAAACTTAATATAATTTATTGTTAAATTATTTTTAATAATTACGAACATGTTATTACATTTATAGTATAATTATAAATTATATTTTGTCGTGAATGTGAATCACCCACTCCAATAATATTCCAGTCAACTATTATGGTGACTTCGATGAGCTCACCCACCAGTCATTATCCCTATATATCGCCTCATATGCAAACTTATGTACTCATAATTGTCATTACCTTTATGTCATATACTGGGTATATAAGACCCTCACTTCTCATGTATTAATCGCAGTCTATTCGCAGTCTATTGTAAGCCCTCTTCGAAGGCAATACTATTTTATAATAAATACTTGTTATATGTGTTAAACGAGTGTAACGTTATTTAGCCCTCACTTAGAGGTTAATACCGTTGGCGACCACACCTAATAGTCGTAACAGTAGTGGTCACTCTTCGCCCGCAAGGCCGCTCATTACCGATTTCGACAATTTAAAGTTTACAATATAAATATTAATTCGTGAATCAAATATAAATTAATAACGATAATACAAAAAATACCAACATATTTAATAACTTAACTTCAATAACAATAACGTATATTGCATATTCAATAACTTCTTATTAATTTATAATATAATAAATATTACCAATGGTTGAAAAACTTTATATCGCTATTAATGTATATTTTATGCATGAATTAATACTTATATTGTAAATTACAAATGTATTTTATAATTATACTTATTAAATGTAATAACATGTTTGTAATTATTAAAAATAATTCAACAATAAATTATATTTACATATTTAATTACAAATTAAGTTTTATACTAATAATTAATGCAAATTTCTACAACTACATGTCAATAAATATAATAATACTAAAATTATTATTAAGCAATATATTGGGTGTTAAATGTAAATACAATCGAATTAAGTTAAATGTAATTAATAATGACTATATTTTAATTTAAATAAATTTTAACTTTATACTGATCTCTATACTTTTAAAAACGTATCAGCACTGGAATATCATGTTTTGTTTTACTAATATTAAAATAATGTTTCGCCTAATTATCAATATATTTATTGTTTTAATATCAAATTACAATATATTGCATCCGCAAGGTTTAAATATATAGACAAATCATTCAAAAAATGTGTAATATGATCTTATTTTTCTCTAAATAAATTTTGAAATTTATAAAAATTAAACAAACAATTTACTAACTATTTTAAATACTACTAATTACTTCATATTAATAAAGGTTATATTATTAATTGAGGTCATTTTAACAAAATTTAGATAATAATAATAAATTGTTTTTACACTTATTAAGTACTAAATAATATCATTTTTGGTAAACAATTGATATAGTTTCTAATATAATGCAATTTAGTTAAACATAACACAAATTATTAATTTTATGGCACCACTTTCATTGAAAAATCGACAGGATTGCCATAAAACAATTGACTCAGCGATATTATATCCACAAAATTCTTAGCATAATCAGCCACAGTATCTACTGTCACACCACCACTGGCTTCAATCAGAATGTCAGGGTAGCTCTTCTTCAGTATACGTGCCGCAATCTCTAGATCTTCTTTATCAAAATTATCTAACATTATTACATCGACTCCCAGGCGGGCCGCCTCCTGGGCCTCCTCTAGGTTCCTGCACTCGGTCAATACCTTTGAAGCAATATCCCGCGCCCTTCTCACAGCATTGACCGCCGCGGAGACTGACCCACTAATCACTATATGATTGTCCTTAATCATGATCATATGGGATAAATCATACCGGTGCCCACTAACCTCTCCTACCACCAGACCGTACTTCTCGACCATTTGAAACCCTGGAGTTGTTTTACGGGTGCCGGCAATTTTGCCTTTCCAGCCGACCTGTTCTACCAACGCGCGCACGCGCCGCTCTTGAGTGGCCACACCTGAGCATTGAGATAACACGTTAATGACCACACGTTCTGCAAGTAATACGTTGCGCGCGCGGCCCATAACGTCACCCACTAGTTGTGTGGGATTAGGGTTAAGAGATTTGCCTTCCGGGTACTGCCAGTGCACCGTTAAGTTTAGTTCATTGAATATTGCGTTCGCAAAGGGTAAGCCAGCTAAAATTCCTGGACTTTTACATAGTAAACGTGCGCTAACCACTTTGTTTTCAGCCACCAGCGCCTGTAAATCAAAACTGGACGCAAATTTAATGAACAATAATTTTCATTATAATGAAGGCTATTTATTTTGGTTAACAATGCGGGGTTTAGAAACTATGTATTGTATACAATACTGAACACCATTTCAAGCTTCCCAGAGTGATTAACCCTAAATAATGAAAAAACAACATTATTTCTTATTCCCAATAATAGTCGGCCCTCTATTGTAACAGTGAAAATAATGTTCGTTATAAGTCAGTCTTTTGTATTGGGTGTTATACTTAATAATAAGCGCTAACCGTATCATTATTTATAAATATTGTAACGGTATTTCACGGTTCAGAGAGGGGTTCTCCTATTTCTGATGGTAAGTGCTCTCTCTGGCTGAGGCCTCCCGAACCGATCACCGCCACCATCCCTCTATTCATTATCTATCCCATCCTATCTATTAATTGTTGGCTCCTTCAGAGCCGACTTACCCCGTATTTCGATTGCGTTAGACCGATGTCCTTACCTTGGTGGTGAAGTCGACTTGAGTTTCTTTTAATCGTCTCTGGATAGGCCTTAGGCCTATCTATGTGCTTCAATTGTAGAATAATCGTACAAATGAGTTTATCGCGATATCTATACTTTATTTAGATTAAGTGCACATAACACATAGGATTACATAGATGTGAATAGTTTGTAGGAATGATACGTAGGCCTTGTGCCTACAACTGAGCCAACGGTAGAGCTCTAAAGGAGAGCTAAAGAAGAAGAGAAGAGCCAGGCGAAGAACGGAGAAGAACAAGAAGAACATAGAAACTAAAGGTGTACTGCTTTATAAAGAGCAGCAATGGCTGCCACTGCAGTGGTGAGAGTTGGTAAAGTACCATGCGTGCATTAAGAGTAGGGCTAGCTGATTGGTTAGAGTGATTGGTTAGAAATCTGTATATCGGAGTTACTAGAAGTTGGACAATGTTTCAAGGCTGATAACAAAGGCTCCTATAAAGGAGAGAAGGCTCCTTTTTGGGGAAGTTAGAGAAGGCTCTGTTCGGGGGAGAAAAGGAGCTGTTGTTGCAAGGATACAGCAACAAAGTTTGGAATAACAATTAGGGTTAGACGATAGTGGGGCATAACGATAGGCGATGAGCGATTGTATAGTAGACTGAAGTCATTGTGAATAATAGTATTGGGAAAGATTAAGTGTAAGCGTAAACAAGTGTAAGATTATGAGATAATCGTTGCAATATTTTATTCCTAAGATAATAAACTTTGATAAGCGGTCTATTCACTGCACTAATCATCTACTATCTCCCATTGTGTCACCAATTTTTCAATTTCCTAATTGAAGATTAAACTTGATTTTAAGACCAAAAACTGAAGACACCCCCGATTTGATGACATCTGCCATTTTTAACACCATTTCTCTCAAAGGCATTNTTTAAGACCAAAAACTGAAGACACCCCCGATTTGATGACATCTGCCATTTTTAACACCATTTCTCTCAAAGGCATTAGAAATGATGGGTATCTGTTGTAATCAGTAGGGGGTATATCAGGGTTGATGGCAGTGTGGGTATAGTTTTTATACCTCCTGTTATTAAACTTTAATTGGGGTTTTATTTTCAAAATTAATTTTTTACCATTGAAATAATGTAAAAACACCGTTAATTTAATCGCTAGCCGTTCGGAAACATCTACAAGTGATCCTCAATAGTCTAGTCAATGCATTCCTACCCTATGAACATATAATCAGCCAATATGTTAGACATCGAAGTCCCGAACCAGTTTAAACACTCCCGATAAGTGACCGAACATCGGGTGACCACCACAGCTACAATCAAGGGCGCGGAACATTTTTAACTATAGTGGTCATTGATGCACACTCATATAATTTACATTATAAATGTGTTTAAATTTTCAAGTGAGAAATCGCGTCAAATAAGCTTTTTATAAGATTGTATAAAACAATGTCTAATATGTGTTGCCGTACGGGTGGCCAGAGATCGGTTGGACAGACATTAATATGCGATTTGGACACAAATATACATAAACTAATAATGAATGGACATTTAAGGCCGATAATGAGCAAAGCTACTCATTATAAACATCTAGATAATCCATTTACAAATAATGATACGTTTAGCGCTCATTATTAAATATAACACTCAATATATCAATTTGATACAGAATTGTTGATAAATGTGTTTTCATACGAAAGAGTCAATAGGTTTGGTCAATTTTCTAATTACGAGTCTATAGCTTATATCATAAAATTAATGTGATTTGATATGTGTATCACCAGTTTTTAATACTATGAGCTATAGACGCGATATTTATCTAATATTTCGTTGCTAATTGATATAACATAAATTAACTATTTTAACTAATTTAACTTTATAATTAACTATTTTAAAGCAAACTCACCCAGGCAAGTCTTCTTTAATCCAACTCTGGGCTAATTCACAGACTAGTATGGGATTTAGTATATTTTCGTAACTCATTATATAGCAATTATTCAATTATATTGTTATGAAATAAATTTAATTTGTAAATTTTATATCTATTTTTGACGATTAATTTTTATTTATATAACAAAACGGATTCAACAGTAAGTTATAAGCAAAATATTTTAGTTACATATTGTATATGAAGATTAATTCTCAGTCAAATGATGGCAATATTATATTTCTTTATTGTAACAATACTTTTGTTATAACTATATTAAATTATTTATTACAATAAGTGACATGTATTTACAGATCATAATTATTTAACCATCATCATGACTACGTTCAAATGCTGTTTGTGACAGGTATACAATAAATAATAGTGTTGTTTTTAAAAATAAAAATGATGCTCAATTAATAATTGGTAATTATTCTGAACGTAACATTTTAGAAAACGATTAGATATAAAATTGATATAATTTTTAGTATAATAGATAGCAAATATTTCAAACTGATTACAATGTAAACTAGTTGCCCTTATGCAAGCAAACTTATAACCTCAAACTTTTTAATTATTGAATATGTAAACAATGTAAATACTACAAATTATATGATTAATAAATATTAATTTATACAAATTCAATCAAACAATATTTTAAATTGTCCGCAACACAAGTTCAAAACATTAACTATTGATAATATACAGAACTTTATAACAATGAGTTTAAATCAACAATTAATTGCCAAATTAATAGTACTTTATTAGTATTTATAAAAACACTTTAACATTTTTGAATAATGTACATTTGAACTTATTACTTATTAACTACTCGACTAGCGTTGCCAAACATTTTACAAAATACAGAAAGAAATTTTCTTGTACATTGAAAAATACAGGAATATACAGGGTAATTAAAATATACGGCACATCCCTGGGCGCAGCCATTATCATAACACGCGTATATTGCTTAGCACCACAATACAAATTATGCTGTTTTCAACGGGTTTCAACAAAAGTTGTATTGTGTTGCTCAGCAATATACGCGTGTTATGATAATGGCTACGCTAGGGATGTACCGTATATTATAATTACGCTGTATAGTTTGGAAATAAGCTGTAATACGAGAAAATACAGGAATTTATCGCAATTTTCTCGCATTTATACAGGATTTTCAAAATATTATTTGGCAACGCTATACTCGACATCAATTAAACTATAAATATAAACCTAAACCAAGTACGATAAAGCATTTCAATAACAATCATAATTATTGATATAATTAAACCAATTATCAATACATAAAAGACTTCGAAGAGATCTTTAAATAAAAGTACATTAAATTTATTGGAAACATAATTATCGATATGTTTGTCAATATTTAACATTTTATGTCTATTATAGTTAATCACGTCTTCAATCCATTGGCCGTAAATACCAGACTCTCTGAACGCAATAATCCTAAAAAACATGATAAAAACATTCAATTCAATTGAAATCGATTACATTTTAAGTTTATATAAAACACATACAATCTATCGATACCTCTACCGACCCATACGTCCGACACGTTATTTATAAATATAAAGTACGGCTCAAGACCTCCGTCTTCGGCCGATATCCTCATGATATCGACGAGTCGTTCATCTGATCCGTTGGTATAATTGGCCGACAAATTGGTCTCCATTTGTGACAACTCTATTAAATCAAAAATTAGGGCCAATTTTGAGTTGACGTAAACATAGGACCCATTCTTGAGGCCACGGATCAGATCCTCGCGAAAGCCCGGGTTGTAGTAATTGACGTACTCTTGGATGCGATGGCGGATACGGACGGCCAGTTCGGTGGCGTTATTGGCGGCAAAAGTGGCCAAAGAGCTGTCATCTCTCACCACAATCTTCGCCGCCGCAAAGCGGGGCTCAATCGCCAACTGATCCAACGAATCGACGACAATCATCGGCTCATTAGTGACCATATAGTCGAGCAGTTCGGCCGCGAAGAACATTGTCAACCAGAGGGCCGACACCAGCCATACGACCAACACTGGGCTCCGGATGTCTGTGCGGGCGAACCGTTGCAACTGTTTCTCGAAGACAATGGCGAAGAGGTTCCACAGAGTCTCGTAATATATGCGCCAATTGAACAGCCGTTGACCGCCAATGGATGAGATCACCGATAGGCTCATCACTGAGAAGATTATGGCCGACCACTCGTAGGCACCGAAACAGTTGTACGCTTTGAAGAGGTTGTCAGCTCTGGCCGGGTATACGCGGGCGGCGATCGATGCCATCTCGAAGTAGTCGACACATTGGCTCAGATTGAAGACAATGTCTTTGAGAAGAGACGCGTATTTAAGATACCGGGCGGCCACCGATGGTGCCAAAAAATATATTCACCTTGGTCTCATAGATATAGCCCAATACTTCCAGTAATGTTGTGGGCTGTGGATTGAATCTGATGCTAGATTTTAAAATGGTAAATAATTTTACAGTTTACTTTATTTAATAACTAGTTTAGACTGTTTTATACTTACTATGATTTGTAAAGTATTGCGAATTCAATGATTACCATCAGTAATGGTCCGCACATTTCTTGTGTCGTGCCGTCACTCATAGGCATACTATTAGAGGTTAGAATAATTTTGTTATTATTTTTAAATATTGTTAATTTAATTATTTAGTTATAACTTACATGTAAATGATTGGCGGATTACTGATGGCCTGCACTGTAATTACATTACTTTTAATCGTATCGTTTGTAAAACTAATCAATTCATTCATTTTAACTATTATACAATGATTTGATTTTGAATAAAAATTCATTGTTTATTTATTTACAAGTATTTCAATCGGAAAATACATAAGACAAAAATCTATACACAAACATAGTGGTAAATATAATAGTGTTCTGTAAGTGCATGAATGTTAAAATGTTTGTTAATTGTTCACATGATAAGTCAGCCAATCGTTAATAATGATTATTTTATATGAATTGTGTTTATTATAATAATAAATGCTCTGTTTTTATGCATTTTCTTATCTACTTATAGTCTATAAGTGCTGATTATAAATATTGATATTTTAATTGCAAGTTATTTTTATATATTATTTAAATAAATTATCCTGAAATTTTAATAAAAAATTAATTAATTATGTACTGTAGGTAATAATTAATTTAGTCAAATATTTATAAATATATTAGAAAAATTTCAATTTTATAATTAAGTAATATAATTTAATTCTCCAGTATATGATGTTTATAATTGCTTTTAGAGATATGATTTGTAATTTTGTAAAATTAATTACTTGTGTTAAAATGTATTTAATATGGTTTTTATAAATCAAATGTGTCAAAATCTCAATTGCAAAGCAAATTCCTGATAGAATATAAGCTATAGTACAAGAGTACAATAGATCCAGCACATTTTTTGGAGTAATATCATTATAATCAATCTTAATCTGTTTTACATGAAAAAAGCCCCTGGTCTTATTTCTTACATAAAACAATATATCTCTATTCCACTGGTTATACAAACCCGATTCCTTTGTCATTGAAATCCTATTGAAGATCAAATAGTGATAGAAATTAGAAAATTAAAATATAATTAAATTAAAAACTAAAAATTTAGCAAAACTAAATTACATTTTATTCAGTGCTTTCACAACCAATTTATCAGTCTTTTAGCTTATAAATAAGAAATACGGCTCAAAACCGACTGATTCTCTCGATATATGCATCAAATGAGCCAAATCTTTGTCATTTGTCATATTGTGTTCCAACTCTTTAAACCCTAGTATATTGAATACGAGCGCTCGTCTATCGTTAACGTAGGCATAGGAGCCGTCCTTTAGGTCACGGATCAGATCCTCTCTAAAGTCCGGCTCATATTTATCGGTAAATGATTTCAATTGATGGCCAATATTCGCGGCCAACTTTGTCCGCACGAGCTTTCCATAGGTATTGATTGGGTTATCCTCGCGAACAACAATTTGCATTTCCCGGTGCTTTGAGAGCTCTTCTAATGAGTCAATGGTGAGCACCGGCACAGACCGTACCATAGAGTCCAACAAATAGACAGAAAACTGAGTGGAGAGTACAAACGCCCCGAACAGCCATATTATAAGCAATAGCTTTTGCTGTGTTTTACGTATAAACCGTTGCAATGATTTCGCGTAAAGAAATGTCGAGTAATTAAAAAAGTATTCATAAAATGTATAAATAGTTAACGCTTTCAGTGATGAGATCATAGATATAATGATAAGTGTTGTCAATACAGTTATCCAAATATTAGACGGAAAGGACCTGACATACGATAGTATAGGTAATGCACCGGCAGTTGTCCGAGCAATGAATGTACCCACCTCTAAAAAGTTAATACAATCAGTGTTGGTGAATGAGTTGTTAGTGAACTGGCTCATATTTGTTTTGTAGTCAGATATATGTCGTGATGTGACCGGAGACAATAAAATATCCAAATGTTCATCTGCTAAAGTGCTCAAAAAGCAAATAAGACAAGATGGTCGGCTTTTTATTTTAAACCTGTCCAATAAAATTATTTTTCATTAGTAATAATAACAATATATTTAATTATATTCTAACAAGATTATAAACTCAAAAAGTTATAATTTATTATTCCTATTTAATTTGCAAAATTTTAAAAACTTGCGGTATTTTAAAACGCTTTGAAAGTTCAATGATTAACATTAATAACGGTCCACAGATAGTGTACATTGAATTAGTGGCCAAACTGTTAATTATAATTTACATTAGAATATATTAATAAATTTAATTAATTAATACATACGTGACGTGTATATACGGAGACATACTTATCGGCTGTATATGTATAGTATTGTTATAAAATGTCTCATTTGAGTAGTAAATCAATTCATTCTCGTTACGATACATGCAGTGATTTGAATACATTATTATAAAACTGATATAGAGTAAAATGATTTAATAATTATGTATGAACACCAAACTATTTACTACAAAAAATTTTAATTATTGCTTGTACAATTCATAATATAATACAATACAATTATACAATCTATTAAATAATTATTTTTTAAAATACTAAACAGAATAGATGAAAAGCATATTTTATTTTCTAAATAGCCAATATTAATATGATAACAATCTGGGTGTAACTTGTTAAGAATATCATGATTAAAAATATTACCGCTGGTAAACAAAAAAAATATCTACGTGTGTGTTACTAAACTTATGCAATAACTTATTTATTAAATTAATATGTTTTTATTATTAGAATGTTTGATAACACACCCAAGTTGTTAATTTGCAAAATTAAATTTTACAGAATAAATATTGTTTTGCACTTAATGCTACAAATTAATATTGATGTTTTTTATTATTTTGCATATTCAATTCTAATCAATAGTATTACAAACTTGATAAAATTTATGCATTCGCACCACACATTATTGTAGACTTATAATTCACACAAATTTCGTATATATAAACTTATAAATTAATGCTAAAAAGCCGCTATCTACAGTAGATAGCTTGTTTTTACAACTTTTTAGCATTAATTTATAAGTTTATATATACAAAATTTGTGTGAATTATAAGTCTATAATAATGTGTGATTCGCACTGAAATGTTTTATTTTATTAAATTACTCCATTTATACATTAAATATGAATTGATTTTTCAAAAGAAATAAACATACCTATGATAATATAAATTTCTACAACATAATTAGAAAATAGAATCACCTTTCTAAAATGCATGCTTATGTTTTAATACAATGTTATTTGTTTTATAAAATTTATTTGTTTTGTTAAAAAGGGTTTTATCTGGTTTTAAACACTTTATGGACATTTCAATAACAAAACAAACACCTGCTATAAAATATGCAATTAGGCAAGTGTAAAATAGGGCTAGCACATTCTTCAGCGTAATATCATCATAATCATACAAATTATTATATTTTACATCAATATATTCCTTGGTTTGATTTCTAAAAAAAAACAGTATATCTCTATTCCACTGGTCATAAAGTCCCGACTCTTTTGTCATTAAAATCCTACGAAAACATAAAAATTAAAATTAAAGATATAATCATTTAATAACTAATAAATTATAAAATAATTTGAATTACATTTGATTGAATGCATTCACAACCCATTTATCGGTCGCTTTGTTTACAAACGAGAAAAACGGCTCAAAACTGGCCGTGTTTTCAGACATATGTATTAAATCAACTAAACTTTTTTCACCAAATGGTGTCAACGTTTGATCCAATGATTTAAGACCTAATATATTGAATATTGTCGACAGTCTATCGTTAGCGTAGGCATAGGAGCCGTCCTTCAGACCACGGATCAGATCCTCTTTGAAGCCAAACTCATAATAATTGGTAAATGGTTTCAATTGGTGGCCAATATTGTCGGCCAATTGTGTCCGCACAACACTTCCGTATGCATTGAGTGGGTTATCCTCGCGGACAACAATTTGCATCTCCCGGTGCTCTGAGAGTTGCTGTAATGAGTCAATGGTGAGCACCGGTACCGCCCGTACCATATAGTCCAGCAAATAAACGGTAAACTCAATGGACAGCACAAACGCCCCGAACAGCCATATCGTGATCAATAACTTTTGCTGTGATTTTTGTATAAATAGTTGCAATGATTTTGCGTAAAGAAATGTCGAGTAATTAAAAACATATTCATTAAATGTATAAACTGTTAATTTTTTTAGCGATGAGATTATAGATATTGCTATAATTGTAATGAACACAACTAGCCATACATTTAACTCAAATGACCTGAAGTAAGTAAGTATTGGCAAAGCATCAATAGTTGTGCGGGCTATAAATGTGCCTACTTCTAAAAAGTCTATGCAATCGGTGTGTGTGAATGTATAATTGTCGTTGATCTTGCTCATTTCTTCTTGGTATTTAAACAAAGAACTGGAAGTGACCGGCGATAGTAATATATCCACATTTTCGTCTATTAATGTCGATAATAAACCAATAAAATTTAAAGGCCTGCCTTTTATTCTAATCCTGTACACATTAATTGAGATTTATTAATTATCTAGTTGTAATATAAACAAATTTTTATTATTTACAATTTTAAGAAATAATTTTAATATTATTTAGTTATTAGCAATAATTTAATGCATTTTANAAATTATATCCATTTTTATTAACTAAACTCCCGTTATTATTAACTGATGAATAACTGATCATGGTTGACATAACCTAATTTGATCCAGGTGCGTTTGCGATCTACATCGAGCCGTGGCACGCCGACATATTCCAGTTCTTGGATCTGCGCAAGAATCACGGCGCCGAAGAGCAACGCGCGCGCGACCTGTTTCTGGCCCTATGGGTGCCCGACCTGTTCATGAAACGGGTGGAGGCGGACGGCATGTGGTCACTCATGTGTCCGCACGAGTGTCCCGGACTGTTCGACTCGTGGGGCGAGAAGTTTGAACAGCTGTACGAGAAGTACGAGTCGGAGGGCCGATACAAGCGTCAGGTGCGGGCGCAGCAGCTCTGGTTCGCTATTGTCGAGGCGCAGATTGAGACGGGAACACCATATATGGTAAGCCCACACACTAACCACTAGGTAATTGTCACTTAATCTCTATAATGGTGTGCCCGCACAGGTGTACAAAGATGCCTGCAACCGTAAGTCAAACCAACAGAACTTGGGCACAATCAAGTGCTCGAACCTGTGCACCGAGATTGTCGAGTACTCGGCCCGCGACGAGATAGCCGTCTGCAATCTGGCGTCGATCGCGTTGAACCGATTCGTGGACAAAGCCAGCCGTACGTTCAACTTCGCCAAACTGCGCGAAGTGACCCGAATTGTGACCAAAAATCTGAATA